CCTCCTCCTCCTCCTCCTCCTCCTCCTCCTCCTCTTTCTCCTCCTCAGCCCTACTCTGGGTTTCCGTTTCCAATGGGGCCGCTTTCTGTAGCCCAGATGTGGACCCGTGCTGGTCCCTCGTCCTCCTCCTCCTTTGGCTGCGCGCAGAGGAGGGCACGGGGAGGGGGGAAGGCTTCCTAGAAGCACCCCCTGCTTCTCCGAGATGTGCAGCCCTGAGCCGTTTTTTGACGGCCTTGGGGCCCGCTTCGGGCCCCGTGGGGCGAAAGCTGAAAAAACAACTCTGACGACGCGAAGAGGGAGGTCTGGGACCACACCTCCCCCCACCTCGCTGGCACGCCCGAAGTGGATACGCACGGGAGACATGGGCACAGTACCCCAGGTGTGTCCCAAACCGACAGGAGGCCGCCCATGAGCCGGCGACACTGCTCCCTGACCACGAATCCTGTCCCAAATAGGTGGGAACTGTTGTTGGTCTTTGTCCCCCTTTTCCCACTCCCTTTCCGGCCCTCGCCGTCGGGCACGTCCCCTGACAACGAATCCTGTCCCAAATAGGTAGGAACTGTTGTTGGTCTTCGTCCCCCTCTTTCCACCCCCTCTCTGGCCCTCGCCAGTCGGGCACGTGTTGCCATGTGTTAGGGGTCTATGGCTCTGGCGCGTGGGCGCCAGATCCACAGATCGGAACAGGTACCCACCGAAACGCGAGGCCGGCGCCGCGCGATGTGGCGACGGAGCGCGCCAATGTTGCAGTGCACGGAAAGCGGCGCATGTCGCTTACCCTCGCGTCTCGAATCCGTGTATGCGCGTCCTCGAAATTCGATCCCTCGCCCCTCTGCTCCCAAGGCCCACCCTCCTGGGCGCTGCTTCATGGGGGCAGCGCACAGGGCGGTGAAGAAGGGCGTGCCTGCCGTCCACCTCCGGGGCCCCGAGGAGCCTCTGCAGGGCCCCCTTCCTGCCACCCTCGACCCCCCCGACTGCTCACTCCCGTTCATGGCTGGGGCTCCTCCTCCTCCTCCTCCTCCTCCTCCTCCTCCTCCTCCTCCTGGCGTCCTCCCTCCTCGCGCCTGGGTGCAAGCCTCGTGCGCCCTGGGACGGAGGGAACAACAACAACCCGCCGCCCGCCGCCCTCGCAGCGGGGCCCTCACCGCTCGTCCATGGAAGCCTTCGCGGCGGAGGCCTAGACTCCGCCTCCTCCGCCACCAGAGCACTGAGCACTGCATATTGTTCAAGGAGGACTGTCCGCATCGTCTCGCAACTGGGCTGCCTCTGAGCGCCGAAGTTCCAACGACGGTCATGCCCAATTTGAGCTGGATATGAAAGCGACCTTTGGTCTCTCGGCCATCAGCCGCGCTGCCCCGAGCGACGCCCCCCCCCCACCGGTGGCGCGCAGCCTGGTGGGTGGCGGGTGCCGCTCAGCAGGAACCAGCTCTGAATCACTTCCCTCCCGCTGAGCTCGCCTCCAGTCCAGTCCCCGCGCCCGCTCCTTTCCCTGCGATCGCAAACGCCGCACATCCCTGGCATGCGAAATCCCGGCCCGGGGCCGGTTGTCCATCCCGAATCGTTTTTGGGGGGCCAAGAGGGGGGTGTCCAAGAGGGGGGGGTGCAAATCATGACCGGCGGCATGTGCGCGGCCCAGCGAGGGGGCCTGGGACGTAATGAAATAAGAAGAGGCGCCATGAAATCTGAGGAAAAATCATGGCCCGCGCCATGATATCCACCCCCCCCTAGCCATCACCCCCCTCTTTTCCGCTCCCGACGTTTTTGGGGGGCCAACATCGCCCGCCATGATTTTTTCACGACGCGCGCACGTCTCGCTTCCGGGCCACACCGCGGGCCTCCGGCGGCCCTTCGGGACCATCCTGGCCCCTCCGAAACGCCCTCGGCGAGGCGCAGCTGCTGGCATGCACCCTGGGGCTCCAGAGGAGGCCGCGAGTCGACAAAAACTGCCGAAAACCATGATCCCAGACCTCCTCGAGTTATGAAAGAATCACGACGGGAGGTGTTTCACTATGTTTGGCCTCTGGGGGCCCCTACCGGCCCTCGGGACCGTCCAAAAACGACTCAGGACGAAAAACTGGTCCCGGGGAATGGGTCGAGACCTCGGGGGGTCGACGTCATGAAAAAATCATGACGTCGGGGGTCTGGGATTCCCGGGCCTCCCAGACCCCCGACGGTCATGATTTTTCATGACGTCGACCCCCCGCGAGGTGGCGACCCATTCCCCGGGACCGGTTTTCCGTCCTGAGTCGTTTTTTGACGGCCCCGAGGGCCGGCAAGGGCCCCCAAAGGCCAAAAATAGTGAAAAACCTCGCGTCGTGATTTTTTCACGACGCGAGGGGGTCTGGGCACGATTCTCGGGCCTCGAAACCACCCCCTCCTGACCCTCCCCTGACTCCAGATCCGCCCTACTTTGGGGAAATTCGTAAGTGGGGCTTGGAATTTCCGCCTTACTTTTCAAGCCCCGCTGATGCCAATTTCCGCCCTACTTTTCTGTTGCTGTTTCTGTGGATTTCCGCCCTATTTTTATGGTGGGTGCAGCAATTTCCGCCCTACTTTTTCGGCCTCTTCTAGGTGGATTTCCGACGCAATTTTAAGTTGGACAAAAAGGCCAAAGTAGGGCGGATTTGGAGTCAGGGTCGGGCGCGAGCACGTCTGGCTTCCCACGGTCTTCGCCGCCGGGCCCCGGGCCCGACGCAGCCGCCGCGCCACGTCGCGGAAGCTCAGCAGCGCCGTGGCCCCCGGGCTCGCGGAGCGCGAGCGCCGCACCGCCGCGCCGCCCGGGCGCGGGGCCGGGGCCCGGAACCTCGGCGGGGGCGGGGGGCCCAGACCCCCTCGAGTTAGGAAAAAATCACGACGGGAGGTTTTTCATTATTTTTGGCCTCTGGGGGCCCTTACCGGCCCTCGGGACCGTCAAAAAACGACTCAGGACGAAAAACCGGTCCCGGGGAATGGGTCGAGACCTCGGGGGGTCGACGTCATGAAAAAATCATGACGTCGGGGGGCGGGGGGAGGAGCCGGAGGATCGGGCCGGGCGAAAGGGAAGAGGAAGAGGAAGAGCGCGCCGAGTCCGCCGGACGGCCGGCGGGCCCCCTAGGAGCAGCGCGGGTGGACAGGAGCCCGGTTATTGCATGTGGTGGAGGAAGGCGTCTTCCCAGCTGTCCCATAATTTCTGGTCACGAGCATAAGATGACCAATGTTTGGCGAAAGGGGGGGAATAGCAAAGGGGGGGGTCTGAGAATCAGCTCACGTAGCTGATGTTCCCGGCGCCTCCCGGCGCCGGGAGGCGCCCATGCATCGAGGAACGGGCCCGGCGGCGGGGCCGAAACCAGCTGCATACAGCATATTCCGTCCCCCCCCCCTGACTCCGGATCCGCCCTACTTTGGGGAAATTCGTAAGTAGGGCTTGGAATTTCCGCCTTACTTTTCAAGCCCCGCTGATGCCAATTTCCGCCCTACTTTTCTGTTGCTGTTTCTGTGGATTTCCGCCCCATTTTATGTTGGGTGCAGCAATTTCCGCCCTACTTTTTCGGCCTCTTCTAGGTGGATTTCCGACGCAATTTTAAGTTGGACACAAAGGCCAAAGGATGGAGGGGGGAAGGGGGTACAGTCGGACTTGATTGGACAGGACACGCCAAAGGACACAAGACCCCTCCGAGGGCCACGTTGCCACGGGAATGTAGGAGGCACGGGTCGCGAGACGCAGGACACGAAGGTACCCTTGGTTTGGCAGGGTCGACCTACTAATCCGGGCCGACTCTAGCTGCTGTCCTCTGGAGCCCCCATGTATGGACGTTTTTGGGGGCCAGCACGACAGGGAGGCCGGAGGCACACCTCGCACATCCCCCCCGTGACTTCGGGCCCACCCTACTTCTTGGCAGATTTCGAAGCAGGGCGGAAATTCCCGCCCAACCTTTCAAGCTCCTTTGATGCCGACTTCCGTCCTACTTTGCAGTCGCTGTTTCCGCTATACTTTTGCTGAAACATGTGCCCTGCGCGGAATGTTCCGCCCTGTTTCGTTTCGTTTGGGGCGCCTTCCTTCGGCCGATCCGGAGGCAGGGCCCCCACACTCGACGCCCACGCTCGCGCCTTCGCTCCACGCCCGCTTTCCGACCGACAACTTCCCGACCCTCTCCGACGGACGACAACACGACCGAAGGCACGGCCGCTGGGCGCACCCGAAACAGAACGCCCGCCAAGTGACGGGCGCGTCCGCGACGACGGACGGCGACGCAACCGACGTGCGCCTGGCAGAACGCCCTTCGGGCGCACGACGGACGCACGACCCCAGACAGGACGCACGACCCCAGACATGCGATGTCTTGACTCTTTCCATGTGCGGCCCCTGGAGATCCCCAGACCCCCGACGTCATGATTTTTTCATGACGTCGACCCCCCGAGGTCTCGACCCATTCCCCGGGACCGGTTTTCCGTCCTGAATCGTTTTTGGACGGTCCCGAGGGCCAGCAGGGGCCCCCAGAGGCCAAACATAGTGAAAAACCTGCCGTCGTGATTTTTTTTCATAACTCGAGGGGGTCTGGGGACCCCAGACGTGCGATGCCTTGACTCCTTCCCGTGTGCGGCCCCCTGGAGAGCCCGACCCCTTCCCCCAGGGGCGGGTCCTCTCGTCCCGATAGGCGTGTCTTATGTTGGCCCCGCGGCCCGGCCAGGGCCCTCGGGGCGCCGAAAAAGCTGCGACAACCCCCCCCCCCCCCGACGTGATTTTGTTCCACGGCGCGAGCGCGTCTAGTGACGACCTGCCCCCAGACCCCCTCGGGCTATGAAAAAACCACGACGGGAGGTTTTTCTCTATTTTTGGCCTCTGGGGGCCCCTACCGGCCCTCGGGACCGTCCAAAAACGACTCAGGACGAAAAACCGGTCCTGGGGAATGGGTCGAGACCTCGGGGGGTCGACGTCATAAAAAAATCATGACGTCGGGGGTCTGGGCCAGACCACCCCCAACCCAACCGAAGACCCGAATTCGACCCGAATTTCGGGTTGGGGGGGGGGGTACGGGTTCCACATGTGTGTTTTTTCAATGTTCCCCGACCCCCCCCCACTGGAAATCGAGGATACATTTGGGCCTTCGGGTTGGGTTGGGGTGGTCTGGTGGGTGGTGATGTCTGGGATCGCGGCCCGAGCCGGCGGATCGAACCGCACCGAATTGCATCGCAGGCGACCCTGCCGAGCCCCGAGAGCGGGAGCGAGCCCGAGCCGCCCCCCGAGGCGGATCGGCGGCGCCCGCCGCCCGCCCTCTGCGCGCGCGCTGGCGCGCGCGCGCGCCGCTGGGGCGGGGGCAGCTCGGCCGCGAGGGTGTTGATGGCCTCTGGCGGGGGGGGGGGGGAAGCGGCCCCATCCTCCTCCTCCTCCTCCTCCTCCTCCTCCTCCTCCTCCTCCTCCTTCCCTCTCGTTCTCCTCCTCGTCCTCCTCGTCCGTCCTCGTCCTCCTCCTCCTCCTCCTCCTCCTCCTCCTCCTCCTCCTCCTCCTCCTCCTCCTCCTCCTCCTCCTCCACACTCGCCCCCGTGAGGAAACATCACGACCGCGGAGGCTTCCGGCCGTGTTCGGCGCCCCCCGGGGGGGCCCTCGCGGGGTTTCGGGGCCGTCAGCAAAGTGGTTCGGGAGAGAAGGCCGGCCCAGGCTTCGGGGGGCTCGAATTCAACAGGCGGGATACTCGCACGTCTGGCAGGCTGGGCGGCGCGGGCACGCCTGCTCGGCCCCGAAGCTCCGCGCGCTGCAACTGCTTCACACCAGGCGTTTTCGCCTCCTTTCGGGCCCAGGGGCAGGGCGGCTCCAGAGTCAGGACCCGCTGAGCCCATTCCCCGCTGACGTTGCCCTTCTTGGTTTTCCGGTCTTAACTCGGCTCTCCAGCGGTGGTTCGGGAGGATCTGGACACCACCGGACGCCTCTCGGCGAGGCGCTGCCGCTGAACGCACATCCCGAGGCTGGAAACCGCCGAGAACCAAGAAAAAGCGCCCGAACACCTCGAACCTCGTGCCCCTCTGGGTCTCAGGAAGGGGGGCGGGAGGAGCACGCCGATGCACGCCGGGCCTGCCGCTGCTCCACCAGCTCGCCGCCGAACTTCTCGGCGAGCCGCTCGCACGCGCAGGCGCCGGCGCTGGCGGCCTCCAGCCGCTCCAGGCGCTGCCCGCAGGCGGCCAGCGCCTCGCCCGGCCCGCCCCGCCCCGCCGACACGACGCGACCCGGCGCACAGCGGCTCGTCCTGTGAGGTCTGGGCGTCGCAATTTTTTCGCACGGGGCGTTCTCGCCAATTCTCCTCCACAGAAGGGTTCCATGCGAATCCCTCCACAGAAGGGTGCCTATTAAAATCCCTCCACGGACGGGACCTTCGAAGGATTCCTTCGTGGATGACATCATCCACAGATCCCAAACAAAAATCTGGGGCCACCTCCTAACAACAAAGACCAGCGACATTCTCGCATGGCCTGTCGTCGCCCCGACGGGGCGTTCTCGCTTGGAGGCGGCGGGGGGGTCTGAACTGGATGGGGCCCTCGTCCACAGCGAGGGGGACTGCCTGCAGGGAATGGCGATGAGGGGGCCTGGGGCGGGAGGGTACACTCGGCGGCGAGAAAAGGGGGAGGCCTTCTCAGAAGGCTCGGAGGTCCCCCGGCCTTCTGAGAAGTTTTCTTTCTAAGCCTCCCCCGAAGCCCCGAAGGCGCAGAAAACCTGTCAGAAGGCGCGGCGGTGGTGTTGGAGAAGTCCCGCCGCCTTCTGAGAAGGCCTTCTCCTCCTCCCTCCCCTCCCTCGCTCGCCGCCTACTACCTAGAGGCGGGGACGAAGGCAAAGCCGCTCAAAATCGGACCCCCAAGCCCCCGCCGGGCTCCGTCTGGCGCAATTTTTCGCGCCGGATCTGTTGTTGGCGGCCCCAGGCCCCGAAGACGGCCCCCGGAGGCCGAACAAAAGCAACAGATCTCCTCGGACCCAAAACTTCCAACCTCGCCCCTCCCCTTCGTCGTCGTCGTCGTCGTCGTCGTCGTCGCTCGCGTCGTCGTCGTCGTCGTCGTCGTCGTCGTCGTCGCTCGCGTCATCGTCGTCGTCGTCGTCGTCGTCGTCGTCGTCGTCGCTCGCGTCGTCGTCGTCGTCGTCATCGCCGTCGTCGTCGTCGTCGTCGTCGTCGTCGTCGTCGTCGTCGTCGTCGCCGCTCCCCTTCCTGCTCGCCGGACCCAAAGTGGGGCCACCTCAGGCCCCCAGACCCCTCCAGGTTCTCGCCAGGCTTCGGGCTCCAGGGCCCTCGCAGATCGAGCCAGGAAAAAATCCGCGGAAGATGGATTGCAAAAAACCGAAGGATTGCAAAAAAACGAAGGATTGCAAAAAAACTTAGGTTTTTTTTTGTTTTGCAATCCTAGGTTTTTTTTGGGGGGGGGCAATCCGTCGGGATGTTTCGCAGTGTTGCGACTTCTGTTCGCAGCGTCGAATCTCGGGGGCGTCGCGCCGAGCTCACCCTGGGGCTAAAGCGGACGGCGCCGCACTAGGCCCGTCGGCCAGCCGACGCGCGACGGGGGCACAAACGGCGCGTGGCTCGCAGGGAAACATGGCTGCAGGATGGCGATTTCAGAATAATTGAATGTACATTGCTTTCTCGGCTGGGATTGCTTCGGAGATGACGGACGATGACGACGCCCACGAGCAGTCCTGGAACCAGATGTACGAAGCATCGCCCACAGGGGTGCTGCGTGAAGGGCCGCCCCCTGGCATTAGAGTGTGAGGAGAGAACGGCGAGGAGGAGGAGGAGGAGGATGAGAGGGACGAGGGCAAGGAGGATGAGGAGGATGAGGAGGATGAGGATGAGGATGAGGACCGGTGTAAAACCAAGAGTCATCAACGATGTTGGAATTAACCCTCCCTCCAAGCTCCCTCTTCATAAACCCCTACAGCGGTTCATTTCCATTGAGGGAACTGCCTCGTTGGAAAAGAACCGTTTGAAGACCTTTAAGCATACCAAACATTGTTCTCGGGATTTCCACGCCACGGATCAACCTGACTGCTGCGTCCTGACGATCTGCAATCGTGCCAGAAAGCCATTTTTGGGACTTCAACACCACGAATCAACATAACTGGTGCGCCCGCATAATCCTGAATCCTTCCAAAAACCCTTTTCTGGTACGCTGATCACGGGAATCCGTGACACCATTGCAACAGTTTGTGCGCAGCGCTAAAGCGAGAGCCACAGTTTGAAAACGACCCGCCCTCAATATCCCTCAATCCGTGACGCCCTTTCTAATGTTTAAAACGCATGTGCGCGGCGCTTACGCGAGAACCGCATTTTCAAAGCGACCCGCCCTCAATCCGTGACACCCTTGCTAATGTTTAAAACGCATGTGCGCGGCGCTTACGCGAGAGCCACATTTTGAAAGGGACCCGCCCTCAATCCGTGACACCCTTGCTGATGTTTAAAACGCATGTGCGTGGCGCTTACGCGAGAGCCACATTTTCAAAGCGACCCGCCCTCAATCCCTGAAGCTATTGCAAATGTTTAAAACGAATGTGCGCAGCGCTAACGCGAGAACCGCATTTTGAAAAGGAGACGCCCTCAATCCGTGAAACTCTTGCAAGTTTTTTGAAACGAATGTGCGCGGCGACAAAGCGAGAGCCACATTTTGAAAACGACCCGCCCTCAATCCAGGAAGCTGTTGCAAATCTTTAAAACCAATGTGCGCGGCGCTTACGCAAGAGCCACATTTTGGAAACCACCCGCCCTCAATCCCTGAAGCCTTTGCGAATTTTTGAAGCGAATGTGCGCGGCGCTAAGGCGAGAGCCACATTTTGAAAACGACCCGCCCTTCATATGTGAAACTGTTGCTATTTAAAGCTTCAGGATCAAAAATGCTGAGGAAGTCCTGGGCGAAACGCCCAGCCCGCCCTAAAAACTGGCCTCGAGGTGCGACAGGGAGTAACTATTTACCAGGAAGAGGAATTAAGGAGGAGGAGGGGGAGGAGGAGGAGGAGGAGGAGGAGGAGGAGGAGGAAAAGGAGGAGGAGCAGGAAGAGGATAAGGATGAGGATGAGGATGAGGATGAGGATGCGGATGAGGAGAGGAGGAGGAGGAGGGAGGAGGAGGAGGAGGAGGGGGGAGGAGGGAGGAGAGGAGGAGGAGTGAGGAGAAGGGGGGTAGGAGGAGGAGGAGCAGGGGGGGAGGAGAGCGCAGCGGCGTGAAAGGCCAGCATGGATACATCGATGGGGGGGCCAGGGCAGCGCGGACCTCGCGCATCTCCGACCGGAACGACTCCATCGCCTGCAGCTCCCGCGCGCTGTCTGCGCGCAGATCGCGGGCCGCCTGCGCACCGCCGCGCGCCGCCTCCGTTCTCCGCTCCCCCCAAAGGCTAGAAGGCAGTGTCCTCCTCCTCCTCCTGCTCCGTCTCCATCCTCCTCTCCTCCTCCTCCTCTTCCTCCTCCTCCTCATCCTCGTCCTCCTCCTCATCATCCTCCTTGTTTGTCCTTGTCCTTGTCCTTTCCTTGTCCTTGTCCTGTCCTTGTCCTTGTCCTCCTCCTTTCTTTTTCCTCCTGCTGCTTCTCCCTTTCATCCGCCAGAGCCTCCTCAATGGCCTCTCCCCGCAAGAGGCCCGTGACATGCCCCATGTCCTCCGCCTTGTCCCCCTCCCCCTCTTCCTCTCCTCCTCCTCCTCCTCCTCCTCCCTCACTTCTCCTCCTCCTCCTCTCCTCCTCCTCTTTCCTCCTCCTCCTCTCTTCTTCCTCCTCCTCCCTTTCCTCCTCCTCCTCCTCCTCATCCTCCTCCTCCTCATCCCCCTCCTCCTCCTCCTCCTCCTCCTCCTCCTCCTCATCATCATCATCAGCATCAGCATCAGCATCATCATCATCAAAGCCGCACTGGCTCCGTCCACCGACGGCACGGCTCCGCGCGACAGACCGAGCCCCCTTCGCTCGCGCCTGCCATGGGCCGCCACACCACGGGAGCCGTGGGGCAGCGCGCCCATGAGAGGCGCACCAGGACTCCTCCGCCTGTTCCCCGTGCTCGCGCACAACGTGGGCAGCCTCCAGCCGTCGAGAGTCTTGGAGCTGAGCTTGGCGTACCGCAGCGTGGCGGTTGGAGGCCTGACGGGCACATGCCGCAGACGACCACAAGCATTCGCTCGAGGAGACCCGCGCCCAGTTCATATACGCGAGACTACGCCCTACCACAGCGTCATTCACTTCCCGTGGCAACCAGCAGCTTGCACCAACAAGAGCGCGGGCTGCAGCATCATCCTGGGCGAGCGAATCAAGTGCTCCTCTGTCACTTCCATCGAGGTGCCGCCCAGTATTGTCGCAGGCAGAGGAGGCGCGATCGACATCGACCAGGGACCCCTCTGTCTGCGCGTGGTCGTCGTGTATCTCGAGCCCAGGCCTCGTACTGCCAAGGCACGACCAAGTTGGCGCAAAGGTTGCCAAATATTACGACAATGGATAGATAGATTACTGCGCAGTTGCCCTTACCGCCGAGTCCCAATCATCATGACCGACGCGAACACTGGACTCGGCCTACGTGGACAGCAGATTCATCAGGACGAATGTATTGGCCCATTTGGCAACGGACACGAGAATGAGAACGGAAAAGCATTACACGACATCCTTTTAGAGCACGACATGGGCGCCATCAATACCCACCGCAAGGTGGGCCCCACCTTCATTGGCCACAGCGGCGCCACCACGATTGATTTTATCTTCATACCATCGTCGCTGATCGCGGAGTCATCATCCAGACGATGGCTGACCACAGCACAACGCACCAGGAAAAGCAAGTACTTCCTGGACCATATCCCCATCGTTGCCAGACTCCTACTACCATGCCCTGGATATGATCAAACTACCCGCAGCAGCTGGAGCTGGCCCAAGATCATGGACTGCCTGCAGCAAGGACATGGACGTGAGCCCTTCTTACGAGATCTACGCGGGAAGATCGAACAGTACCAGGACCTGTTCAGAGAGGTACGCACGGACCCCAACCCCGACAGGCACATGTACCTCTTCGTCGCCGTCAGTAGGCAAGTCGTTTTGAAGCACTTTTCACTGGCTTGTGAGCGGCCTCCGTGGTACAGAGAAGCGATGAGGCGAAGACTGGACCTGCTCAAGGAATTGGCCATCGCCAAGCGCTCTGCATTCCACGTCGACGCACCAGACGCAGCACGCGACGAGGTGAAGGCCATCACTAAAGTACTGCACGCACATTTGAAACGAGTACGAGCACAATCGGACCGTGACCTCGAACAGCAGATACGCGAAGGATGGGCTCACCGACAGTTGGCAGATATGCACTCGGCTGCGAGACGACGAGCACATCGGGGCATCGGTGTGCGTAAACGGGATTTTCGCTCATTACCGTCATGTCAGCCTGCCATGGACGAGTGGATCGAATTCCTGAGTATGGCCGGCTGCGACAGGGGATTCGCTGCGAAGCAACTTCCAGACGATGACATTTTACCTGCACTCGCCGTTGCACACCGTCCAGATGAACGAGTCTCACTACCACCACGGCCTGAAGGGCATGCAATTACGATTGGAATTCAAGAGCTGTTCATAGGCCAGGACGACTTCTACGAGACTAGGAAGCATCTATGGAAAATGAAGAGGCGAACGTTTGCACCGTGCTGGAGTCTACCGACAAAGATTTATCTCATCATGACCAATCCGTGTATCCTCAGCAAACCAGGGGCACAGACGGCAGGACTGGGACTCTTTATGTCCTTTGACCCGATGGATTTCGAGAACCCGCCCGACCCTTCAAAACGAAAGTTGCCCCTGGATGAGTACACTCAGGCATCTAAGATTCTTACTGATATACACGCACACGCCAGAGCTACTCTAGCTACCCCGAATCAGGCCAACATGAGTCAGACGTTCGCTCTGGGCAAGAAAAAATCCATCGCTGGACCACCTGGCCTTCGACTCCTCCACTGCTTCTGCCCATGGTGGCGCAACTTTTTCAGACGTATCACGAACTTCGAGGGTGGCCCATTTGCGCCTCCAGAATGGGCGTACGGTGGCATAAGCAAGCGCAGACGGGAGGCAATGATGTGTTTATCACGAATAGTGGCGTATCGCGTCCGAGCGTGCAGATGGACCCTGGTTGCTAACTCATATGATCAACGAGCTGCTTTCCAGAGCGGGAAGTTGGATGATCTCAGGCTCATCGCGGGCAATCGTATCTTACAGAAGTATGTTGACCAAGGCGAGCCTGACGACATGGAGAGACGAATCCAAGGCAACATGGATTTCACGGCCCAGAGGCGATTTCATGCTGTCATGCGCATCAACTCTCCACAGGGATGGCTGTACTTGAAGGCTGGCAGTGGCGGCCTCATGGGCGACAGCAACGAACCAGAATTCTTCATGGGCAACTACTACGAAAGCATATCTGAGTATATCGCCCCCCACCAGCAATTTCTGGAATTTTACCTTGGCTTCCTCTGACATGTTTCACGACACCGTCAACGCTGGCATAGGGCTCTTCATCGGTGATCTGCTGAAGTTACTGGCCCTACCACCTGAGGCCACAGCCGATGAGATTCGTGATGTGAGCAACCTCGACGCAGAATGCCTGGACACTAGTGGCGAAGATAACGAATACAAGCAGAATCGTACAAAGGCCGAGATTGTTGTTGCTGCCTCTCGCCGTGGAACCACCCACGCACTGGCACGAGACCGACGACTTGTTGGAAAGATGCTGCCCGAGCTGAAGCACCTTGGCGGCATGTTCTCGGCATCTGGCAGCAACGTTGCTGAACGAGCTGAACGACTAAAAGCCATCAACCGAGCGTGGAACCACTTGTCTGGCTTTTGGCATTCTGAATATGGCTGGAAACCCAAGCGTCGTCTCTTCGGAGGCTGTGTCCATAGCGCGGCCACATCTGGAGGAGAGGGCTGCCTGTACACGAAGGCGGACTTCCAGGCCTTCGACTCCAGCCTGGTCGGGAAGCTTCGATCCATGCTCCAAGGTCGGGCTCACACCGAGGCTCATGGCACTCATCGGTCCTGGCCAACGCTGAAAGTATGGCGATACTGGAAGCGTACACCTGTCGCGCTGGAACTTACGGTACGACGACTGTGTTGGTGGCGCGACATTTTCACGGACATCCCTCAGCACTTCCTTGTTGGCTTTGTTTCGGCAACTTGGCCCTCGAGGGCGCGGCTAAAATGCAGGTGTCGATCTTAGACGAGGAGGGCGTGATCAACGTGAATGTTCCCATTCACCCTTGGGCCAAGCAGCTGCACGACGACATAGAGATACCCCTCACCATCGACTTGGCTACCGAGCTACGTGGCACGTGGCAGCCGAGAAGTATTAAGTGGCTCTTGGAAGACGAAGAAATACGTGACATGTACACCGCGATCGACCCCCGTACCCTGCGTGCGGGTTTCTTCTCTCGGCAGTGGCGGCCTTACGGCACTACACTGGAGGATCTCATGCCGCTGGAGGGCGAGGTTACGGGGGTCGACGGCGAGAGGCTCCACACGTGCGAGATAGAGTTGGCGGGCGGATCGAAATGTGGTCGGACCTTCATGTCTCTGGCATCGCTACGTGCGCACCAGGCCCACAGCAAGGAGCCCAGCCACCAGATGCGCAATGTTCTCAGTCTATTGGTACTGGACAACAAATGTCTGATATGTTACACCGTCTTCCGCAGTCGTGATCATTGTGCACGCCACTTTCTACGCGGGTGGAACGCCCGTCGCTGTGTGCGCCTGAACACGGCGCAGCTGTGGCAGTACAGGCCACCCGACTGCCTTGAGCGCCCGATCTGCAAAAAAGTATCTCCACCTCCCCCGCCCCTGGGCCCCTTGGGGACGTCGACAAAGCAGCAGTTACCGTAACGAGAGCGAGCCAGCATACAACAAGCCGATCAGCCACACAGCGCTCATTATCAGCAGCAGAAGCAAGCACGACCTTACCATCAGTACAGCATGCAACATCATCATCGGCTACACCGAGTGCGTATCGAACAGCTAGCCGGCAAACTGGTCAACACGAGCAAGCACATGTACGAGCTAAATCTGCACCCACACGATCAAGAATACGAAACAAATCTACCCCGAGCCGAGCTCCGACATTATCCTCTCCATCACCTCCGTCGTCATCTCCGTTGGGTTTTGGCTCTACCGAGGCCCTCCGCCACCACCTGTGTACACACATACCTGTGCACTACTCGGCGCGCCCGTGGATTGTTCGTGAGCTCCGTCAAGTTGCAGCTCGGCCTAAGCTGGGCCCCCGCTCAGCACATACTACCACGAGCACCGCATCTGCCCGTGCACCTCCTCGCCCTCGTGCTGCTGTGCTCTCGTCCACCGCTGATGCGGCCAGCGTGGCGCC